CCTGCTGATCTTACAGACCTGTGGGAAGGCTAAATTCTTCCATGGGGGAATATTCCAGTGCCAAAATATAAATATTCCTATCCTATCAGAATGTATAATACATATATTGCCCTCATTCTGGTATTACAGCTCTGCTCACATGTCAAAAAGTTTTGATACTGTTGTAAGATATGTAGTAGATCAGGGCTCACAAGAGATCCTGGTAGTGGAGGAAGCACTACGTTCACTGCAGTGAAGGATGAGAAGATACTTGAGAGAGTTCTAGGTCCTGAAAGACTTGTACTCTATGCCACTAATGAGGAAAAAACCCTAGCAATTGTTTATTCCTAACTTACTGATCTCTGCTTCTGAGAAGCCCCAGATGAGTTTCACTGATGCCAAGTGGGTTTTGGTTCCTGCTCTTAAGTAGTCATAACAACAGATGAGTTTGGTAGCTTGTGTAAGGTGAACAGATTTCACCTTACAAATTTTGATCATGCTTTTTTTTGTTTGTCTGTTTGTTTAAAACTGTGAAGTTGCTTCCTACTTTGTTTTGAGCCTGCACGGATTGACTTTATAGTACCAATTTTGGTTTTTGTTTGTTTTTTAATAGGCAACTGTAGTATGCCAAGTTGCCACATTGCATAACTACCTTTGCTGTTCTTTTTTTAGAGAAAAGGTGACTACGACTGATATCCAGTCACAGGTAATGCAGGGTCCTGAACCAGCCAGAAATCAGAGTTTCACAGAACTGATTTCAGAGCTTCGAACAGCACAGGTAGGTATATGTCAAGCCAATCATTCACTTGACATGATAAGCGATGCATAACCATTGATACAGTAGACCAATAATGTAAATAAAAAGTAGTAGTGGAGAATACTGCTGTTTTTACAATACTAATCATTTGCCACACTTAATTATCACAAATATCTTGTCAAATGCACCCTCAGAAGTAGTCCCCTAAGTCACAAATTGAGTGAAAGAAGTGTGCTGTTCCATTGTTCAGTGGCAGTTGTGAAACATCTTTGAGAGCTTGCAGAAGTAGTGATCTGCAGGTATTTATAACTTTCCACCTAATAAGACAGAAATTGAAGAGTGCTTATCACTACCTACTGCCAAATAGGTTCTAGATAAGAGCATGGGAGTGGAAAGAATCTATTGTTACTCACTCATGTCAGTTCTTTTACTGTCTGAAACATGCTTTTGTTTTTGAGGGGAAGTGTTTAGTAAGCTTCATGTTAAAGTTAAGGGTTTAGGGGATTTTTGTTTGGCTTACTGCCAGTGGGGGACTGTTCTGGCACGTGGTTCTCTGATGGTTAGGCCAGAAACTAAGCTGGTTTCTAAATGGTAAGGTGTGTGATAAAGGGAGCCAGATCCGGGGGGCTTCAGGGATCAGGGGAGTTCTCCTGGCCTGACAGAGCTGACTTTACACTCTAAGATCCCAGGGCTCCCCTAGTTCCCCCGGAATATGTGCTGCCGCTGCAATTCCCTGTCTTTAGGTCCAGCCAGTAGTGAGGCTGAGGCATATTCCAAAGATGGAGACATGCACACAGACCACGCTAGCGTGGTTGGACGCACAGATAACAGAGCGATGCCTTTGCACATACCCACAGAAGTACAGATAGCCTGATCCTGTTTAGCAATCAGAATGGGAGTTCCCTAGCCATCACATGCAGGCATGCACACATGTGGATCCCTCCATGACCTCCAGCCAGCCCTGTACATGTGGTCTTATCTAGCAGCTGGCCCCCAAATCCCAGTCCCTCCCTAAGGACCAGCAGCCATAGAGCTATGGGCTCCTATGACCCAGCGCCCCCATCTCCAGTGAGCTGCACCCAGACCTCTTGTCCTACTCACCAGCTAGTCTGGCTTGAAGTTTGCTAGTGGTCATACATCTGTGTGCAGAACAGAGAGCATACGCTATTTCTCAACGTTTTTCTGTGCAATAAGAAGAGAAGATAAACTGCAATGATCAGGCACAGGGCTCAGCCAAGTACACTGACCAGCAGTGTACTTGCATTCAGCTAGGCCCCTTTATTGTCCTTTCTCTCCATTTTTCCCATGCTTGTTCTTCCACTGTCACTTTGATCCATCCTTTTCACTGCCCTTGTCTCCTCTCAGATAAACAACACACCCCTAATTACATTTTCCCATTGCTTCCACTTTTGCTATATCTGTACCCAAGTTTGGTATTTTAGATAACGTTACCTAGGTCATCTTGGTCTTGTACACTATCAGTAGCACAGTTACCTAGGTACTACCGGCCTTTCAAGGTTGTACTTCCCAAAAGGTCCCCAAAGATCCCCTCCAATTATCTGTAAGTTTGGTCTTTTCTCACATAGCTCTCCTTAACCACCTGTAAAATATGGCCATTTGTTATGGGGCTATCTGTATTCTTGTCACCTTCTCACTGTTAATTTTATGCGTCTAGTCTGTTCTTTTCTGTTCCAGTAGCTAAACCTCAGGCCGAGACCTAGTCATCTGCCGGCACACATTAACATTGTGTCTGTTTTAATCTTGTACAGACGTTATTCACTCCCTTCTTGCACTCTGATTGTGTTCGTAGTTACTCCCTGGTAAACTTATTATAAGGATATTTTTACAAATCAATAGTTGCAATTATTTCTGTAATGTGCGGTGAGAGTGCCGCTCCTGATCGCCTGGTAAAGTTGTGCTCTCTGAAATAAAGGTAGAGGTGAGGAGGTGTCTGTCTTTACACTTTGAAATTGTAGAAGCTAAGTTAGGCTGTCTTTACAGGACTAAGCGGTTAAGAGAACAAAACTGAGTCCTGTGCTCAGAATAAGGCCACGTATTCCTCAAGGCAAAAATTTCTCATTTTGTGAGGAGGATCATTCTTAAAATTGAAGAATAGTGGTTAATGTCAGAGAAGGCAAGCAGGCAAAAATCTTGTAAGACAACGGCTCTTTTGAGACTTGTCTGTTCTCTGTATCTTGGAAAGATGAAGATGTTTGGAAAGTTAAGCTTCGTTTTTAATCTAGTTTGTGGCTTTGTGAAAAGATAGTACTGATACAGTTCATCCCATCTGTCCAAGTTACTGAGTGTTGTCAATAAATGTGGACTGTACATCCGACCACTTAAGCTATAGTCTTTAGTATTAGAAATAAGGAAAACTATTTTCTTTACTGACCTTTTCAAAGGGGAGATCTTGGAAGTGGAGAACGTTCCAGAGGTATGTAAGAGATGACCTGTAAGAGATGGCAGGTTTTTCTGTGCCTAACTTGAATTTTCCTCTGCTCTACTTTAGCAAGCACTGAGAATAATACCAAATCTAGAAATCTCATTGCTGCCGTGGTCCAACACAACAGTTGTGATTTAATCTCTTTATGGAGAAAAAACATGTTCATTTTTTTATGAAAATCATGTGTTTAGGTTTTTTTTTTTGTCTTAAAATTTTACCTAAAATTAAGAAGGAAGAAACTAAATTACATGAAGAAATAAGACGGCTTAAACAAGACAAACAAGCTCTTGAGGTAGACTTGGGACAAGCAAAGAAAGAGAGAGATTTAGCAAAAGTCCAGATTGCCTCCGCATCAGGTAAAGTACCCTTATTTTGCTGAAGAATTGTACCTTATCTGTGTTTCTTTTAATAAATATGTAATTAAAACTTGCTTTTTATTAAAATATGACCCAGGATCAAATACGTCTAGATCACTTCAAATACTGTCTAAACCTCTAAAAAGCATACAGTGAAGGAGGTGCCCCAGTATCTCCTTGGCACTCTGTTAGAAAACATTTTATGCTAGCTAGCCAAACCCTTTGTTGTTGCTTACTGAGTTTGACTTATTGTCCATCTCCCAGTGGGCACAGAAAATAGATCATTCATATGACAATTTGGTTCATCCAGGAAGATTTACTCTGCGTGTTAGCCTCGTTAGATCTACTTATCACAATTTTATCTATTTTTACCTATAACTCATGCCTTGTCACTTTTCTTGATGTTCTTCTCTGAACTCTTTCCAGTTTGACTTTAGCTGTCTTAATGAGAGGGCAGCCAGAAACTGGACTCTTTCAGCTTCCAGGATCAGGCATCACAAGTGCTAAAAGTTGCATTATTTACCTCCTCATCTTGTTTAAAAATGCTTGATCCCAAACTGGGAGGAGTATGGTTAATAATAAGAAGTGTGTATTCAGTCATCCGTGTTGTTAATGAAAATTTGTTTATTCAGTCATCCATGTTGTTAATGAAAATTTGTTTATTAGAACTTGACTGAAGATAAGTTCATCTGGGAGTCTGTTTTAAATATCTTCCATGGCAAACTGTGAGCCACTGAATACTATTACATATGAGAGAAAAAGTTTTTTGAAATACACTTGCGTTTAAAGTGCTCATGTTGCTCTGGTTTTAAAATTTTACTGTAATAGAATTGTCGAAGTCATAAATATATGAAGTGTACCTGAGAAGGATAGTGTTGACTAACTGCTTCTAAAAATTCTTCAGTAAAACAATACTGAGGGTGGTCTTTTATCTTGTTAGGTGAGAAATCATATGAATTTAAAACTATGGAAGAATCTTACAAACAGGAAATTGCTCATTTAAAAAGACGACTTCAGTGGTATGCAGAAAATCAGGATCTTTTGGATAAAGATGCAGCGCGTCTGAAAGATGCGAGAGAAGAAATTGAGAAACTAAAACTAGAGGTGATAAAATCAAGCCGTGTTTGTTTGTTTTTCATTTTTAGAAGTTGGAACTTAAAATTATTTCTGTTCTGTAGATGAGTATAATGTAACTTTGTCCTTCACAACGCTTGCATACTGTTCAAGAATAAGCATGTGAGTTCTTCGTAACCTTTAAATCGAACATGGATAGTTTTATATTCCAAATGGATATTCACTGCATATGCAGTCAGAATTGCAAGTGCATACTGCCTAGAACAGTTTTGCTTGCGTTGGATGTTTGATGATGCTTCTGGAAACAACTGTAATGTGATTCCTTAAGGCTTGCAAATTTGTTGGCCAAGAAAAGCAAGTACATTTTTGCATTAAGAGTTTGGAACATCTCTCTTCTCGTTCCTCTTTCATCCTCTTTACTGATCGTAGCGTAGGCAATATTTCTTCTTCTCCCAGCTATCGGTTCTAAGTTCCTTCTTTTTGCAAACAATCTCTGGTTGAGGGATGGGGAAAAAAAGAAAACGCTCAAAATACAAAGCAAGTGAAACTAGTGCGTTAATCTTTAGTAGTTCTGAGATGTGAATCGCCTGTTAGTAGATATGACTTAGAGTTCACAGGAATAAAGAATCTTACTAATGATAAAATATCACTGATTTTTAGAAGTTTCTTAATGGCATGTTATTAGTGAGATCAGATTAAAGGAGGTGCTTCTGAAGGAGAAGCCAGGGAGAAGAGATCACTTAAAGGCCGCCACATCAGACTTTTATCAACGTATGATTGGTGCACATCAGACTCTTAACAATATAGTACTGATCTGAGAGAAAATGTTGCATTTTTCCTGGGACAGACTGGTGTTTGAAAAAGTGAAGAGCTTTGCTCTCATAGAAACTATCAAAAGAGTCAAAAATTCTATGCCGGCATAAAAGTATTACTCATACCCACATTTGCAATATAGCATTGGTCAGAGAGAAACCAAGACAGGAATACTTGCAATTATACAAGGTGTAATATACCTGTACAGTGAAAGCAGTGGCTGATAAAGGTAGGAAATCCAATTTTAGAGTCAAGCTTCGAGTCTTCATGGCCAAATTTTATGGGAGAGCAGAAGCATCAGCTGTCCAGTTCCTTCCCCTGATCCTGAGAGTCAGCATCTATTTAGGCACAACGTAATGTTGTTTTTGGCTGTTGCTATATCTCCTCACGGACCATAGCCCTGCGAAACAAACTGTTTCCTTAACTGATGCTATAGTCATGCAAGACCAGTGTAGTCCGTTTATATTTTTTCATATTAACTAAACCTGAATACTAGGAGGATGGGAGAAAGAAGCACAAGATGTAATGGTTTTCATACAAGAGTGCCCCGAGTTGAAGTTCTCTTCTGGGTTTCTGTGGCTAGTTTCAGCTTCTTTGATCTTAAGAAGCTGTAATTTAGTTTAAGAACTTGAAGGAAAAAAAGCAATGTAGAAATTACTCTTACCAGTTCTTGACTTATAGAATGCTTCCGTTATACTATGTTTAGTTGAAACTTTTGTACTACAGGAAAATGTCTCTGAATATATATTTCAGTTCATTTTCTCATAAATTGGATAGGTCGAGAAGCTCAGAAGTGAAGCTGGAAATCAGTGTGTGCAACAGAAGAACCGTTTGAGGGACAGAGCAGCAGATGCTAAAAGAATTCAGGATCTTGAACGACAAGTATGCAATAATGTAGCTCTTTATGATTTAACCTTTGTTTCAGATGAGGTCTCTCAACGTGAACTAGATCCTTCGTAAGGCTAAAACATTGAATGAAGCCCCATGATAAGATAACTTTTGAACTACAAATATTTTTGCCACAGTAAGCTACAATCGTGTGTTTTACGAAGGTCCTCCTCATCCTCCTACTGCGTTCTGATGAGATGTTTACTGATATCCCTTTTAAATTAAATTAAGGTTAAAATATTGTAGAGTAGAGTTCATTGGAAAGGCGTGAGGGAGAAAGCACACAGAAGCTTGCTGTTTATCTTCTGAGTCGCCTTCCCTCTCTGTATGCAGAAACCCTTCAACCTTATGATCAGCTTCAACCAAGTTTGATTCAAGAGCAGGGGTCTATAGTACATTGAATTCCTACAATCTATCCTGAACTTTCAGGAGAGGGCAGCCAGTTAACGTTTCGGTCCAAATTTTTCATTGTCCATACTGATTTTTGCCTAATGGAGTGGTCGGGAAGTATGAGCAGGGAGCTATGCTGAGAAGGATGTGGGGGTGCAGGAAAATGAGAAAGATCCTCCACGGTATTTTAACCTGAAGAGTATAGAAAGCATCTTATTCGTAGATGAGAGGGGCTTTTATTAATCTTACACTCAGGATGCTTGTTTATTTTAAAGCATTCAGTGAAATAAAAAAGATGTTAATCTGTTATTGGAGGAATGATTTCAAAAATGTTATGAAATCTCTGTAACATAGTTGAAAAGTAGAGTGGAATGCGGAAGTGTTAATGTAAGTCCAGGAAATGGCAAATGTTTTAAGTTGTATTTGGCCCTTAATGTTGATAACGCTAAAAAAGTAAATAAAAGATCCATTTGATATGAGACAGTCTAAAGACCACAGCGATATTTTGTTTAAATCCAAGAAGTTGTAAAAGTCAGTAAGAGATACCGAGTCTTACTTGTCTGTTTTACGTTGGACAATCTGTTTGATCCATCTTACTTTCATAAAACTCTCTATGCACTCTGATTAGTCTTACTACAGTCTTCTGAACTTGTTCATTTACTTTAACTTAAGAAGAGGACTTTAAGATTAACTTTTTACAACATAAATGTAAGCAATGTGAGAAAGCATTATACTGAAAAGTCTTAAAATATGCATCTCTACTTCTCATTCTTCACCCAGCTTTTAAGTGGATTACATTTGTTGACATTCTGTCACTGTATTTCAGTTCACTTTTCATCAGAATTTTCTTTTTTGACTTCTGACTTAATTTTCTTTTTGATAGATCAAAGAAATGGAAGGGATTCTAAAAAGAAGGTATCCAAATTCTTTGCCTGCTTTGATTTATGCTGCTGCTGCTGCTGAGAAAAGTAATGATCTTTCAGCTAAAACAAACACAGTTGATTTTTTGGAGAGAAGAATAAAAAAGTTGGAAACAGAACTTGAGGGTAAAGATGATGAAGCTAAAAAAAGTCTCCGTGCTATGGAACAACAATTTCAGAAAATAAAGGTAAAAAAACTGGGCGCTTGTTGCGTAGCATACTCTACTCCAAAAGTAATGGTAGAAGGATACTGGAGTCTAACACAGAACAGTGGTGAAAATTGAAGGCAAAGACCATATTCAAGGAAAAAAACGCTCAAAAATTTTGACTAGAATATCAATGGCTTGGGCATCTGAAATATAAATAGCACTGAAATTGTTTGTTTAATATCGAAACCGAGAGGACGTGTTCCTGGGGCATTAATCATTCTGTCCTTACAAAGAGCATATGTGGATTTCATCCTGCAGATCAGAGAAGCTGCTTACTTAATTCCTTGCCGTATGAAAGGCTGTTGTTTGAAAAGTTGTCCAGTTTTACTTTTTCCGGGGAAAGCCGAGGAACACTAATTGTTCTATCCAAAAATTATATGACAGCAAGTTTGAAAATGTGTGTTAGGAAGTGTTGAAATTTGGCATTTTACTTTATGGAAAGGTAAACTGCACAGGTGTTTAACGAACAGGAGAGGAAGGCATTGGTCAGTTGTTCTTCTTTCTTTCCATGTGAATAACTTGCCACGTTTTCCCCACGCGCTAATAAGAGGTAAAATCCTTCTAGATTTCCTCAGCTCTTTAGGGAGAAAGACTCTGTGTCCCTCGGCACTCATACTTTTGTTTCTGGGAAAGGAGGGGGGGGGGGAAGCCCCAACAACAAGCTGTCCTGTTAGAATGTATTGTGATAATTTAAAAAACCAGAGGTATAATTCTGAAGCATGTGACAATAATACTTGCCAGCTGACACATGGCAAATACATAATGGCGGATTTAAACAAAGATAAAGATTTATTTTGTTATTTCTTTTGATATTAAAATGAGATGTTAATTTGCGTGGCCAAGCTGTTAGCGTCTGAAGAGGACAAATTGTATAGAAATGAAATTGAGGGTTTCTTGTTAGTTTAATTTTCATTCCCTTAGCTATTGTATCCATTGTGAGTGGAGGATGAATTTGTAGTAAATGTGTTAAGTGATTCTGTTTTACAACTGACTTTAATGTAACTCATTCACTAAAACTCACCAGTTTCTGAACTGATTGAGTATAGTATTGTTAGCAATACTGATCTGTATCTTGTGTTATGAGACCTTACTTCAGGTGTGCAGTACCTTTTAAAGAATAACAAAAGAGGTAGTAATAAACGTACAGTTGAGGAAAGTGCTTTCTTCTCCATTCTCCCAGGTACAGTATGAACAAAGACTCGTAGAGCTTGAGCAACTACTTGCCTATAAATTGATGAGTGAATCGCCAAAACTGAACAGTGATAAAGCCAGTTTTACAGAACTTGAACAGGAGCTTCAAAATCTAAAGGAGACCCATCAAATCACTGTTAAAAACCTCCAGACAGAAATTGAAAACCTTAAAAGTCAAAATTCACAACTAACACTTGGAAGGAAAAAGGATACTAAAGACTTGCAATCAACAGACTCTCAAGTGAAACAAGCTAACACAAAAGAGAGACTGTTAAAACTAAATCAAGAGCTGGTCACCAAAAATAGGGAAATACAAAACCTGACAAAAACTGTAGAGAAACTTCAAAAAGAAAGGAGAATGATGTTGTCTGATGATAATTTCAGAAATAAAACTGATAATAAGGAAAATTCTACAGAGATCTTGAAAAAGAATACCTTAGCAAGAGATGCAAGGAATGCCAGCAAGAGCGAGCACTTGTCAGGCATTTTCAACGATGATAAAGTATACCAGCCACATACCTTTTCTGATACTAGTATCTCGGAAGTTCTACAAGAAAATAAACAGTTAAAAGATGACCTGGAAAGACTGTCTCTAGAAATGAACCAGCAGAGGGTGAAGTCTCAAGCAACACTGGCTTATTCCGAAAATCATGTAAGAAGGTAAATGCTTGACAGCTGCTTGCAAAAACCTTGTTGAAGTATTGACTAATGCAGGATTGTAATGAGACGTGTTAACCTTCGAGTCATGCGTGAAGCTAGCTTATGTGTGGCCAATGGTCTACATAAACTTCATTTCTACTCTTGTCATTTTTCAGTGCAGTGTACCATCACAATTCTTCCTCCAGGCAGACCTTATATATGAATCCTGTTCATCAGTGCTACAGATTGTCATGGTTTTGAGTAAAAGGATCTAGATGCTTTATGTTCATGTGTTGTATAGATTTAATATTTGGTTATCCATACCTTCTTTCAAACTGGGACATTCTTTCCTGGAATTTACTTGACCAAACGTAGAAACTTGGTTTCACGTAGTCTCTCTCTTGGCTCCCCTTATCCTCAAAGGAGAGGAAATAGACATCTTTAGACTGCAACACACTTTATCCTAAAATAGATAACCTGAAATATGACTGCTGAGTTATGATTTAAAAGCACCTATCTCTGTTGATTTTCATAAGGAGACCCTAAAAAGGCGATTGACTCGGTTACCTGTATGCTAGCTGCCTCTAGTTGTATATCCAGCAGTGTGGTCTTCCCACCCCGTTGCCCCTCCAGGGCAGTAAAATTAATGATAGCGTTATCTTGCAGGGCATGGTTATGAAATTTTCAAGATATGCCACCTTTAACGTTTGTGGTATTTTTACGTGTTCAGGTAAGAAATTTCTCTCTGTTTTTGAAGAACTATCTGCCCCTGTTTTACCCTGTGTTGTTTTCTTCTCCTGCCCAGGATGCAGGAAGACACAGCAGAATACATTGCAGCTCTGAAAGCTTCCCATCAGAGGGAAATAGAGAAAATTCTTTGTCAGCATGCGATGGAGCATTCTACTTCTAAAGTAGCTGAGCTACACAGCAGAATCTCAACACAAGAGGTAAAATACGGTAATTGGACTCATTACACACCAGTATCCTTAAAAGTTACCAGATTCTAGATTACGTTATGTCTCTTTGAAGTAGGATGTATTGCTTCAAAAATGGGCTTGTGCCACTGTGTATGTGTGCGTTAAAATTTTAGGAGAGAATGTACACAGTATGAAGGTAGTGACAGCTATCCATTAGAGCTATTGGATTAAGTGTCCTTTTTTTTTTTTTTTTTTAAACTGAGGACAGTAAATTGAAGGCTGAGACTTGTCTTCATATATTACACGTGTAAATGCGGGCTGTTTAACAATCCAAGTAACTTTAGAGGTAGCACTGTTAATATTTACATAGCTTATACCTGTAGTCCTACAGCACTGATTAGATTTTTAGTGTATTTTTCCTGAATAGGTTTTCAAATGTTGTCATGGGTATTTATGTTAATGAAGAATATTTTCAACCTTATTGTAGATATTAATAAAACATCTCCAAGAACAAATCAATGAGCAACAGAGACATCAGGAAGCCCTTCTAGTTTCACAAATGCGAGAGGAACTCCTACAAAAAGAGGTATAAAGTTGGGGCTGGGGGTGCCTTATACTGATAGAAATCCTCTTCATTTTTGTCCTTTTAAAGTCTCAATTATACCATAAAACAGGTCTTAAAAACAGTATCTTTGTCGGTTGTTCCTAGGTGAGTTAAATATGAAAATGCAGTATATTTTTCTACTGTGAGCAGGAAAGCAACACAGATCGCAGCCTGTTATACTTAGATCTCCTTTGATTTTCATGAAAGTATCTGACATCTGTGTAAAAATTGACCAGTAGGTTAACTCAAACATTCATAGCCTCTTTAAGACAGTTGTGATGGGTAGGAAACATACTACAGGACTTTCTCTTTATTAAAAGGATATTTTCTTTTATTATTATTTGAACATAAAGACGCAAAACAAAATCTTCCTTTTTTTTTTCATCTTTCGTTGCTACAAAACTGATTTGGGCGAATATGTTCTTGGTTATGTCCTCTGCCTATGAAACTTGGTCTTTTGAGAAGCTTAATTGTCACAGTTCTGAAATTCACTTCTGTTGTTTTCAAAATGGGTATCTATCTTTTTTCTTCTTCCTCTTTTGATAAGTGTATAGTCTAAAAATTACACTTGTTCATGTTCTCATTTGGGGGGTTAATTTTGCTTAAATTTGCTGGGTCTTTAGCTCAAGCTTTTTGACGTATTGGTTATTTGTTTCATTCTTGAGGTGCTGCCAATATGCATTCTGCATATGTTTCGTTTACCATCCCTTTGATGTATGAATATTGCTAACTTAACATCATTTTTATAATAGAGTGGTTAACCTGCAAGTGTTGCTAAAAGGAATTCTTGTTTTCTGTAAGTAATTGAGAAAACTTCAGATGTTTAATCTCATTTAGTGTCCCTCTTAAGAAACGAAAGAAGCATCAGCATGCATTCAGTACATACTTAATACCATTAATCTGAATCTCAGTAAACTCATTCAATATTTTTCTTATCCATGCAAAATTCTAACTCTTGTTTGTGAAAAGTCATCATAGAAGAGTCAGGGTTTGTAGGGAGAGAAGGAAGATCTTTTATTAGATAAGCTCTGTATTTGCAGAGTAAAGACTCATATTATGAATGTAATGATAGATGTTGCTGCCCTTCCATACAAAACTTGTTTCACTACAGTGATCTATGTATGTTTTTATGTATGGGCACTTCCTCCTGGGGTTACAGGGTGAGAGTATGAGACAAATATTATTCAACAGATCTGTTTCTTCTGTGCCTGTTTGCCTGTAGCATCATTAATAATCTGTAAAGCAAACTTGGTGAGGGGGGGAACGACTCACTGGAGGTCAGTTACTATACTAATCTCAGAACTGCCGCTCATGGATGTGTTTTCACTAACTTTATACTTATATGACACATCTCAGCTTGCATATAGGACAGCTTTGTATTCTGTTGGTAGCAGAATATATGAAGCACGCTTTCTCCTGAGGCGTTTTTCCTTCACGTTTTTCCTGCATTTTTCTTGTGTTTAATTGTTATTGAGCTCGTGCAGCAGTCTTCCTTCAGTGGAGCAGCTTAGCAGAGAAGCAGCAGTGAGTTATTTTCACTGAACTTAAAGCATTAAGACTTCTGCTGTTTTGACTATGTGACTGCAACTGGTCCACGGGTCCAAAGCTGCTAGAGGCACAAAGAGGCAAAAATGTAATAACATAGGCCTTACTATTTTAGAAAAGCAAGTTTAAAAGGGGAAATAGTAATAAGCCACGTTTGAGTCATTTCTGAGTAAAAGTGAGAGCATCTTATGAACCCTCAATGCTTCCAGCTACTTGAATTCAGCAGCAGAGTGCCAAGGATGGCTAAGCACTTAAAGAGGGTTAACAGTAATCAGATATTGGATTTTGAGAGCCAAGTATTGTCGTAAAGGATCAAAGATTTCAAAGTTTTCATTGTAATTTACTTAAGAATTTGGCCAGAAAGACTTAGGATGTTAAATGAAGAAATAACAACAAATTATTTAAAATATGCAAAGAATAAGAATAAACCACTAGAATATTATAAGAATTTCTGGAGGATTATGAAATCAATTATAATTCATTGGTTCAGCTGATTTGACCTGTAAATGATTAGACTGAAGGAATTTGTAATCATGCTTGTTAGCAGTATGCTTTTTCTTAATTTACTCCTTAAAAATGACCTTCTCTGATGCATTTTACATGTGATCTTTATCCAGTGTGTGAAGAGATTGTATAAGAACGCTTTATTATAAATTTTCTCAATGAATCTTGAGTATGTTTAAGAAGTACAAAAATTGTCTATGAATTACCACTTTATAAAAATACACTATGAATAATCACTTCATAATATATTATGGACAGGATTGGATTTAATAAAATGGAGCTAGATCTTTGTATCTTCTTTACCTGGAAAAAATAAGAGTTTAGGCCACTCTTTACAAATGAAAGATTTTAATCTAAATCCATGAGTCCCTGTTTAAGCTTTTAAAAATGAGGTTTCTGTTTTACATCTCTTTCTGTAGCTTCTGAATGGAATGACTGAACAATGCAAATATGCTTTGAAAGGAGTCTGTGTTATACAGTGCTGAACGTAATGATCACTATTTTCATAAATTATCTCAAATTTTAGGTGGCAAAGTTGTTGGAAGAATTGAGAGAGGCTAAGGAGAGCCACAGTCCTGAAATGAAACACTTCTTGTGCCTAGAAAAGAAAATCAGGCGTATAGAGACCAGACATGCAGAAAGAGAACAAGCACTTCAAAAGGTAAACCGGAGCACATCTGCATTTACTTTACAAGTATAATTTATTGGTTAAACTGTAATTTTGCAGTACTTTCACAGATTTATTCAGCCCACACTTGACAGGCCCGAGGTTTTTTTGATAAAGCCACACTTCTGTTTTGGTGCTGACTGATGCAAATCAATGTAGATGCAGTCCTAATCAACAGTTCCCTGCTGTGGCAAATAAGATCACTTGTACACGACTTGCAGATCAGGTGTTTACAGGCTTGTAACTTCCCTCATAAAGCATGGCCTCCTTAGATCAGGTTAAGCAGGGGGTTGGACCAGATGACCTTCAGAAGTCCCTTCCAACCTTATTTTGTTAAGCTACGATATGTTGTAATTTTAATTCCTAGTCCTAGAAACTCCACTCAGGAAAGCTGCATTAAATTTGGACAATCATCTTGCAGCAGTTTGCCACATGCTGTTTTTAACACTCTAAACAACGTAATTGCTTTGTCCTATACAAACTAAAAATGTGGGGATAAGAACATTGTCTAATGGTGGTTGGAGAGCTGGATCTTCTTGATACAGCTTCTTGTATCTAGCAGTCGTATTACTTGAACAGGTAAAACAATTTTGCATTGATTCTTACTTCTTCTGCTGCAGCTTCCATCCTGACTTTCTATCTGGGGAGTTTCTGTTATCTAGAGATCGTTTTGTATTCCATGTAGGTTTTCTCAACACGTTCATCACTTAAGTGTCTTCCATTAGTGTTTTAATTCCTGTTTTATTTAAATAAAATAGATTAAGTCAAAAAAGGGCAGTGGGAGTGGGAGGTGATCGAACCTGCAGCAATTCTTAGTTTGTGGAGCCTGTTCTGCAGTTTTGACCCAGATCTCAAGGAAGTTCAGTTTTCTGCACAGAATTGTTATTGATGGTAGTAGGTTTTATTCTGATACAGAAATAGCTTTTTTACATCAGACATTTAATTTTTTCCTCTAAAGAACTGGGCATAAAACGAGTCTGTGGATTAAGAATGAATCTCTGCTGCCATTGATGATTTCGTTATCTTTGTTAGCTTTCTGTCCTGCTAAAACATCTGTAAAAGTTGCTCTTTTTTTGCTATTAATTTGTATTTGCATAATGAGATGATTTCTTTAACATTTCCATAAAGCGTCTGCTGCTCCCTAGCCTGTAATCCAGCTCCGCTGAGATCCACACCTGACCCGTATTTACTAAGGTGTTTTGAAAAAAAAAAAAAAAAAAAAAGGAATATTCTAAGCAGCAGAACTACTACTAAGTAATTTCACCTTTCTGGTGTTATAGTAGCCTTGTTATGCGTTAAGCTTTGGGTTTTGTTTGTTCTAGTTTTGCACCTTTAATTCCTTGCATTGGGGCACTGAACGCTCCCTAGAATTAATGATAATGAACAGAACAATTTAGAACGAGTAATAGCTCCAGGACTTTTATCACAACAGGGTGTTTTCTGATTGTTCATAGAATTCATGTGGTTTTTAAAAGCAAAGTAATAGCACAGAACGTTTGCACACGAACATATAGTTCAAATTTGGTTTGTTTCTACTGCGGAGTATTCTTTAATTAACGCATTCAAATGCTATTCAGAAGGCTTGTTTTGAATACAGAGGGTTTTATGTTACATGCTCAGCTTTGTCTTACGTATTCAAACTTTTAAGTGCTGCTTTGGAGAGAATAAATAAAAATTGTCCTGAGGCTCCTCAGTCAGTAATGAATTCTACCCTGCTGTCATTACTGCAAATATTTAAAGAGATTTATAGCTACTACCAAAACAACTTTTTTTTTTTAATATTCCGAACAAATTTTTCCTATTGAACGTCAACACTGGGCTTTGAGACTGAGCATTAAATATAATGGTGTGATGTATTTTAGCAAAGGGGCTGCATTGACTAAAGAGTGAATATTTGGCTAGAAAGTTGCATGCGGCTTGCTTGTACTTGCTTGTTTACAGACTTGCTTGTAATTTGCAGGCAACACAACTAACACAACATATACCTGATGCAAGGCAAACCCACGAAGTTGAGAAGTGGAGAAGACTTGCACAGCGGAAGAATCAAGAACTGGAGAAATTTCGAGTGGAATTGGATTCAATATTAGATGTTTTACGAGAACTGCAGAGACAAGGGGTTGTTATTCCGGGGCCTAATTCCAGTGGATTCAGCGTGACAGACAGCTGTTGGAAGACATGATTAGATGTGAGTTGATTAGAGTAGCAGAATTTCAATATACAAAGTTATGTATAGAAAATATTATTGAAAGTCATTAATGTAATACTTGTAACTTGAATTACATGCTGATTTCATCTGAAATCTTGTTTGTCCAAAGGTAGAGTTGCACTGAGTAACACCCCACTCATATTGTACATCTTATATTTTGTTAGTAATGGAGTTCTCTGCAAAAATATTTTTGAAATATTAGAACTACTGAAGATATTCCATCAACTCAACTACCATTGAAAAATTCCATTTTATGCTTTCAGTCGCTGTAGAACACGCCTGAATATTTTTAACTCGTCTTTGTAACTTTGTGTTATATTAGTTCCTTTATGAACAATTTAAGTAATGTGAGCTGCTAATATTTTTAATACATAGTGCTATCAGTATTTTTCATTTCATAGGGCATGAAATCCTCTTTCTACCAACATTTTGATTCTCTGCCTCAAACCGCTTCTCTCCCTCTAATTTCCTTCCCTTATCTTAAAAGATGCCCTTCAAGCTTGTAAATGCTTGAAGGGGTTGAGCAGAGCCAGAGCAGGTGTTTTCTGGTGATCAAATCCAAACAATTTTTTGTTTACTCTAGATATTCCCAACTCTGGTAAGAATGATGGCAGAGCAGTCTAGCTGAATTGTTATGGGGGCAGATGCAAAAAAGCTTGTAAAATACAGTTGCAAGAGTAAGTTATCAATACCCTTTTAAACTAGAAGGATGTATTGAGTATGGGGCGGTTGGGTTTTTTTTGTTTGTTCGTTTGTTTGTTTTCTCTGAACTGGCTATTCTGGGTCTGATTGATAAGAGTATTAGTGTCTTCATAAACTATCTAGACAGAATGAAGTGGCCTATCATATGTAAAGACCACGTGGTAAAGCTCAGACTGCAGGGATATATTGGTGGGCAAACTTAAAATTCTGGGCAAATTGAAGAAAAAATAGGCTTCAGGAGGGACAAAGGAAATTACTATACTTACTTAAGAAGGAATAATCCGCTGCACAGATTTGGAACGTGGATACAACTTTCTGATGAGTTGATTAGCATCATAGCAGATAAGCTGAACGTTAGCCAGTTCTTCCCTCCTTTATCCTATTGGCAGGTATACATCTACATATAGCCTGCAAAATACTAAATAGCCTGGAAGGAATTCCTCATAGATCACTAAGGTGCAGCTCTGTGTGTTGAGCTTTTGTTTCCTTGTTTCAAAAGAACATGGACACACGGGGGCTGCCCAGCTCTAGAGAGGAGACTGGGGCAGGAAGATAAAAGATGGCTATTACAGTTTTTCTTATATGAAAAACCTGCTGCTAAGAGGACAGAAAAAAGGACAAGTAGTAAGTCAAACTGTAGTAAGGAACATCCATTATAGTTAGTTAGTGGCTGGAAGGACAGGTTTTCTAACAACAAGCTCAGTAAAATACTAGATTGAAGTCTCAGCACCACATGGCCTTAAAAATTACATAGAAAGCTTACATTGAGGTTGTAGCACAGTCAGTCAATCAGCTGTACTTACATAAGGCAAAGATTAAAGCATAGATGGACACGAGGACCCCTATTTTTTGTAATTTTGTACAGTTTACCCTATAGTTTGTATCATTTGTTGAACTTGAAGCTAAGATTTAAGTCAGTCAGTCAAAAGTAAACTACAGTTCAGGGCTGTGTGTATGTAGCTATATGCCATGCCTCTTCAGGGAACAACAGTAAAACTAACACATTTTTGGCTTATCTCTCTAAGCATGTGACTGAGCATGCATGCAGAACAAAGTATAGCAAACTATACCATATTGGTACAGACAGTAGCTAACAGTACAAAATTTTTTTTTTGAGAATTAATGATGTGCAAATAGGAATAGTGTATATAGAGAGATGATAAATTTAGGATTAATATGATAATCATCTTGGTTGTGTCATATTTGGGTATCTTCAATATGCTTAATATGGAAGATTTTGTTCACAAAGAATAAAGTTGTAAGCTGCATTTACACACTTCAGACTATACTTTGTATCAGCTATGACCAAGTAGGCTATATTTTCTTAACGAACAAAAATTCGGGACTGTTTGTTTTGCTAATGAAAAGGTAAAATTCCATAATTTCAACTAATTTATTTCCTGTATTGTTTGTAGTATATGATGTATCACTTACTTACTTTATTAAGTAAGTGTGGAAACAAAAGTAGGATTTTTTTTTTTTTTTTTGAACCACAGCACCATTGTGTGTCTTTAGGGAGGCGGTGCCCAGCACTGGTGGAAGCATTTCTGGTTGCTGGAAACTCTCATCCTTCCACACTGTCGTTTCTAAAAAGCGCTTGTGTGCTAATCCCTAGGTCAAGAGAGGGCTAGCTTAACGCTTGCGTATTATTTCATTTGTACGCTCTTCAAAAATTCTTGTATTCAGTTCTCAGCAAATGCTGGTACACTTTATGTAGTTTGAATTAGTTCTTTCTCTTTAGGTTTACTTTATGGAGTAGGGATAATGTTGTTTGCCTTTACTGTAAGCATAACAAACATGGTCTCTATAGTTTCTTACACTTTTAGTTGTATGTGTTTGTTTATGGGTTTTTTTTTTGTTTTTTAAAAAGCCATTTGCCATGAAGTAGCCACTCAACACAATGATGGAGTAGTTGTTTGGAACAGCTATAGTAAGAGGCCCCCTCTTTTTACAGAGTACAGTCCTAATTTTACCTTAGCTGCTAAAAGAGGGAATTATTAGTCCTTGACTCTACAGCAATCTTGAAAGTAGAGAAAGGGGAAAATACCCTGGAACAGAATAAAAGCTGACAAAACAGGTCACTAGCTGTTACTCTGTTCCACTGAGGCTTTCAGTGCCGTTCTTCAGACGATCCCTCTTGGAGTTCAGTTGTTGTATTTACAAGCATACATTTTATTATAAATGTATAGATTTTTTTTTCTGTTTGTCACACCATATTATTTCATTATATATTTCCAGAAAGCATTATTGTGAATGGATGCAGAAGAACTTAAAACAACAACAACAGTCCTTTGAATTCTGCTGTGTTTAGCTGGAAGTAATTTGTTTAAACACAGTATTGTAAGCATTAGGGATGTAAGGATTTGATTTGTCATATGTGAATCTCTTAGCAAGTCCAGCAAGCATCTAGTGGGGGTGACTCATTGACCTAGATTACAGAGAACACATTTGCTTCAAAAGAAGAGGAAAATATGGTGCACAGAACAGCATCAGACCTCACCATGGAAGCTGTGGCAGAGAAGTAGAGGCAGTGCACTCGGTAAGGTTTGCTGAAATGCATATCAAAATTATTCAGGTAATAAATAGGTTGTTAACATGATGGAAATCTTTATTTGATAGTATCTATCTGTCTATTACATTTTGCAGCTTGCCATAAATGCTGGATTTAAACTGTCTTTTTAAAGAGAAGAAAACTGCAAATCTGCTGTTGCTCAGGTTTTGCTGGGAAGGGGTATGGGTCAAGTACTGCACTGACTCTTAAACAGATTTCAGAAAGTTCCTCTGATAATGTTGAATTGTAATGTTTAGCCTTTCATACAGACACCTATCAAAAATAAGAAATTCCTGCTCTTGCTGTACTGCATGTGGTGAAAGGCACCAGCTCTCTGCTGTCCTTCCTGCTTGTCAGTAGCAGAGCTACAGAATAAATTCAGTCTGACCACAGTGCCATCAGCTGATTTTTTTTTTTTTTTTTTTTTTTTAAGCTTAGTCCTCTTTCCCTGCCAGGGGAAAAGGCTGAGTGGAGAAGGAAGAAGACCACATTTTAATTCTTCCTCTGCCACTGTCTTGTGATGAAGATATATGGTTTTTGTGGGGGTTTTAATCACACTGTAGCAAAAAGGTCAGTATTAAAGCACTTCAAGCTCTACAGCTCTGATGCATAAATACTAAAGAGCATCATAAATACCTGTCACTTTCCATTTTAATGTCATTGATCACACATCTGCAGATGATCATTGTTTGTTTAACTTTTTTTTTTTTAAGGGTTCACAAGTAAACCTTGTTCACACAAAGTAACATTTGACAAATATATATCTGCAAACTGCAATACATAACCTAACAAGCATTCTTAAGGCATACATGTCCATGGAAACAAACATTTGGGGTATCCTAGATGTAGAATTTAGTAGCTTCCTCTAGCCTGAACTAGGGGAACTCCCCATGAAGTTACATCTGGCATAGGTGTTGTATTTATGCATAAATGTATTAAATCTACCACTAGTGATATATTTGTAACTAACTAGTGAATTTTGAGAAAAGGCTATGAAGCAGGTAAATAGCCCAAACTGTAAAAAGACTTGTACTAATTCTGTTTTTAAAGGTGAAGATATGTACATCATTAAATTGAGTACTGCTTTTAAAAGATTACCCCAATTAAAAAAGCTTTTGATTACTTTGCCTCTTGTGGGCTTCTTTGGAAAAGATGCTGAAGTTTTTTTAAAACCATCATACAAAACACCAACCTACCCCATTCTCATAAGACAAAGCACCTTAGCTTTTGTTCTTCACGCAAACTAATAGATAAGTACAGCTTTAACATAACTGTTCTTCAGTATTGCAGAAAGTTTCTGCATTTGCCTTTGACTACTGTTCTCAGGCTGAGGCAGAGCAAAATCTGAATTAGACTGTATTGCTGCTACAGGGCTTTTGAAGTTTTGGGGGAACCTGTGTGGAAGTGTGGGTTGCCAGGTTTGCTCTTTAAAAAACAGCTTGAAGGAATTTGTAAAGAAAAAATGGAGAAAAGATGAAAAAGGAAACTAAGGTCCATCAGGGAAGAAGCGAAGCAGGTACTGAACACTTAAGTACCTCTGCAGGATTAGCACATGCACCAGAAGAACACTAAACATACAACATGAATGTGTTGTAAGTTAAGTAAGTTTGTATAATCCCTTGATGATATTAAGTACTTTTCACCTAGGCATTAAGTGCAACCAGCATCCATATACATTATTAATTGCTACTTTTGGGCAGAAAGGAAAAGTATGCATCTAAACAAAAGCTATCAAGCTTTAAGATGTGGGAAACAAAGCTTTTGGTTAGACCACAGGGAAGAATGTTTTAAAAGTGAAAAGCTTGATTCCCTGATATCAAAAGAGACAGATAATGATGTTCTTCTGCAATTCTGGAGCTTTGCTCCAACTTAAGGCAGTGTTTCTGTTTTCAGCTGAGACAAAGGGGAATAAAAATAGATCAAACATCACACACAGCAGCTCACTTGAACAGAAGCTGGCTGTTAAAGCTGCATTTAGCAGAAATAACACTTTGTTTGTGAGAACAGTATTTATCACACTTGCTCTTCAACTCAGGCAAAAGATTAACCATGAGATAACTAATATTTGTTTGTACTCCCTCAGTAGGAAGCAGTCACCATGTTCAGAAGGCAGTTTTTCTCAGGTTGAACACTTGAGTGAAGATGAATTGCCTGCCAGAGCCACCTAAGATTTTTCAGCAGCAATGAAGACGACTGCCGTAGCAAGATGAGTCGTCATTTCCCCCAGGCACCACATATACAGACTATAACGACAAGTTTTGGTCTGTTCCAAAATTGCATTTTAAAATGTTTGAGATTAAAAGAACTATAATCTGCTGAATATCACAAAAGGGAGGATGAAGATTTTCTGACTTCACTGGAAAACACTTTTATTTAAGGGTAGGTTCATGAGATGGATTTTTGACTGCACAGAGATTATTCCAGTGCTGTGATGCCTTCTGGACTCTCCAGTGAAGTATTAAGGCTCTCAGTACAGTGCCCAAGGCAGCAAGTGTTACAACAGGTTTTTACAAACACCAAAACACAGAATAAGAAAGTGCTAAGGAAAGGGACAGGGATTAATTTGAGGAGAGAAAAGGGAAGTCTGCAGCTACAGCCTTTCTACTTGTAGTTATTTGCTGTAAAAGACGAACTTTTCTGTACTTTAAGGATACTAGAGCCATGTATTGCAATCTACTAAGCTTCCCTTCAGCGTCCTCTAGGTAACTGTATTTTCAACAGTAATTTGCTCATTTTTAATGGCCCTTCCTTTAACCATAATCCCATTACTTTAAATACAAGGAAATGGTGCAAGAAATCACATTTGAAAACAAAAAATGTAGGTATAAGTGATTTATATTAAAGGCACAGGACATTAAACCAAGTGAGGAGTTATTCTTTCTCTCCCCTTCCTTCCTTAAACACACAGCTCATTTGCTATTTCTTCTTTTGGTCAAGTGAAGGAGAAGGAAGAATTGATCATCAAGTGTCTAAAGAGCGTATCGGCAAGCCAGCTCTATCTTTTCTCTCTAACATAAAACATGTTATATACAAAGCAGATTACTTTCAAGAAAATCAGATTAGGCACATTATCTTGAATCCTCTAGTTTGATTTGACTTAGGAACTTCCTGCAGCACACTCCTACTCCAAACCCAGCAAAGGAGTTGAACGTGTTTTTTCTGCATCCCCTGTGCTTGCTCTAAAACCATTTGGGCATTAGCTACGCAGCTCAGCAGAAAGCTGAAAAGTGCTTTTAAGTGCAGCTAAGGTTCAGAACTTTAGTCTTAAAAATACAAAAAAAAACAAAACAAACAAACAAAACAAACACTTACTCATTTCATTAACAACTGTCTCCCTTGGAGAACAGCTGTGGTTGCAATATCATCCCAACTGAGTACAAAAAGATGATGAAACAAGCACAGCTCAACTACATTTTTTGAGAGCAAAACAACTCAAAAGCCTGCTAGTCCTTCACCGGCCCACTTGTCAAAAGCAAGCAGTTTCCAGAGCCAAAAAGCATACAGAGGCCCAGCCTATAAGCAAAATGTAATGCCAGCTTAACACACCACTACTATTTGCATATAGTAATTCTGTTCACAAAGGAAAGAACAGTTTTCATCTGATTTTCCATGACTTCGATACAGAATCCTGCACTTACCAAATCAGACATTCACAAAGGCAATAAAATCAAACTAATGTTTCTGTAGAAAACTAATTCCAGGTCATCACTGTGCAACTGTCAGAACATAAATCTGAAGTAATGTAACTACAGACACCAATTTGCTTTTTATTCAGCAGCAGATGACGGTAGCATTTTGTAAAACACTAACTGAACAATTTAATATGCCAAGTAGTCTCTTTGGATGCTTTGTAAACTGAGTTTCAGCTGCATCTAAAAACAGTTAGGAATCAGAAGCAGAGATTAGCGCCAAGCAGATACCATTGTGCTGCTCGTGGTTTCAGTCATCCTTTTTGGGGCTATCAAAAGGTGCAGAACGCCCCCAAGGGCTGCTTGTTTATTCCTTGCTTCAGTCTTGATTGAGTTTACACTTTTCTTGGCCAAGGAGAGTTTTCCTACCTCTCCCAAAGCCAGGCTCCAGCTTTCACAGTCACCACAGATCATTATGGTTTTAAGAAAGCGGGATATAAAGCAGTCATTTAAAAACAGAAAGCAGAAAGCAAAAACAATGCTGAGAAAGGGGCTTGGACCACAGAAGACATCAGAATAAAGCATTCAGTATTTTACTTCCGGTCTAAACTGAGTTCTGTCAGCACAGCCAGTATTCACAATAAAAAGCGCAATACGTGGGCATAGGTCTGAAAATAGCTTCCGTCAAAATAGGCAAAGGGCTGAGAAGGGCTTTCAACTGGACGATAATGGGAATTTTTACCTTCAAGTAAAAGACTTTTCAGTCAAGGATCCGATGGGAAGACTGCAAGACCGATTTGCTTTCTAAAATGATAGGTGGCTCTGAGATGAGAAGATCATCCTCACCTAGTGAAGAGTTCTGCTCAGTATTCACAAAGTTAGGAATGTTAAATTTTGTAAGACAATTTAGGTCATCCTCAAATCTTCCACTGCTCCTGGGAACTTCCTGGAAGTGAATACTACTCTCCAGACCCATACCTCTGTGACTTTGTTTTCCTTTGTCCAAGTGTTCTACTTCATTAATGCAGAAATGGAAAAGTGACCGAGATTCTTCAGCTATTTGATGAGAAAAGACCCTCTCTGACTCTAGAGGTCTTCCAAAATCTGCCACAAAGCTATTCATGCGAAATCTTTTCTCAGAAGGTTCTGCGTTGCTAGAGGGGAGGGAAAAAAAAAAAAAAAAAAAACAGTGAGCACGAGAGTAGATTATTGGCATTCTTACCAGCAAATGGCGTTTCATCAACCATGATAATCAGGAAGAAAGGAAACCCAACAGTTTATCTATAATAGGATTCAAAAGCCAATACTATTTTAGGTTTGCTGCTGGAACTATTTTAAGTTTGGATTTGTAGTGACAATTTGCCATTGAGAATACGTTACCATTACCAGCACTCTTAAATGGGACTTCTAGTAATCAGTATCCTTAAAATAATAATCAGCTCAGCTCACTGAATGAGCTCAGAAACACTCTTCAACATTTGCTCTTAGGGAGCAGTAAAAAGTTTTTAAAAAAATGGCTTGCAGAATACTTTGAAACAAATCTTTCATAGAATAAAACATTTAGAGGCATAAGGCAGCACTGCTGTCGCTAAAAGCATAGTTCGAGTGGTTGGTCGTCCAGGCATCAAGCCATCCTTTCCACTGACCTCAATGACATACATTTTTCCAAGTTAGGAGAGCCGGAACAAAGAACTGCTACAAAGACTAGGAGGATTAAAAATTCAGAAACATAGCCGGGGAATGACATCTTGACACATATTTTTGGAGGTTTCTAGAGCTCTTAGCTCAAAAATGCTCCAATCTACCCAGACTTATGCATGAATCGGGAACAGTTAGGGCTGAGACAAGAACCAGCTCAACAAAAGTTTCATGGGTACTAATGCATTCTTTGTCAGGCTGGCTTTATATGCTATCATCATAAAATGCAAGTTATTTGCATCTGAAAGGCAGTAGAGGCATTCCGAGATGAGTACTGAAAAATCTGAGCATACTTTCAGAACATAATAGTTTTGTTAGAGTAACTCATACAATTTAAATGTGAGCATGTAGCAAATGACTCTTGGGCCAGATAGTGGACTCCTAGAGGCACATGCCACACCTACAGAGATTTCAGAGATACATTACAACTTCATTCCCTACTGCCTGCAATAGGAGTTAAGTGCCTACAAGCTTTTGAAAGCCTCAGATGACACCTTCAGAAATCAATCCCTAAAAGCTTCGAGTTCAGAGGATACTTACCATTACAGTCATTCAGTCCATCATTAATCATAACAATCTCTGCTGTTCATATGCTAATTGACTTTCATTACATTATATGAGGATTATATCCTAACAAAATCAGTTACGCTAGTGACATACAGCCTTCAAATCATAAGTCCTCTAGTTCATCAAATGGTAGTACCTGTTACATAGAGTCCTGCAGTAAAAAAAAAGGCGGAATGCAGCCAACGTTCAGCTCGTTCTGCATTTTAAACTGGAGCATGTAGAAGCACATTTAAACTGATGCAAGACAGACCAGTACCTAAGTAATCATCTACTGTATATGCACCAGAAGGCAAACAAAATGGAATAGTACTGTGGTAGTCGTCAGAACAGGCATGTTTATGTATTTATAACATAACTGAAAGCACCACTCAGTGTAAGTTGCATATATGGTTTCACAAATCTGTCATCAGGACTTTCCACATAGTATTGTGGCACAGACAGTGGCGCTGGAGAACAAGCATTGAAAGAAAAAATAACCATTAAAATTCTAGGAAGAATGACTTAAGAAAAAAAAGTGTAAGATGTATCCCTTAGAGAAATAAAACTAGTTCATGGGTATGGAAAGTGCTTTACAATCCACTATATGCTAACTGGAGCTATGAAGGAGCAAAGGCTTACTGTGCGAGAAATCTTCCAGACTAGCACAGAAGACTGACAATGGCAACCTCATTTAAACGGAAGATGCAAAGAAATTATATGACCACCAGGATTTTGAGGATGTATTATAGAGCATATTCCTATGTTGACACGTATGAAAAACATGCTCTAGCATACAGTCATATTTTCAGATTCTGAAGCTCACAAACACTATCTTTCTGAGTTTTGGGGGAAGCTTTTTTCTTTTTTAAACTAGACTAGAAACTTGCATAGCCTTGCTCATTACAGTATCCAAGTAAACCTCAGTTTACATCTTTTCACAACACCCATAAAACAAGAAAAGCAGCCTCAGAAATCGCAGTTTTTCATTTGGAGAACTGCTGTAGGGAGCACAGCTACCTGGACGATCAAATCTCTTTTGTATTCTAGTATTATTTAGTATTCTAGTATTGTTTACTCTGTATTTAGTATTTGGGCAAACACGACTCTCAGAGTCCTAGAAGCCACCATCAAGAGCAGGGAGCTGAATCCCAAGCTCATAAAGCATCATGCATACTAAAAACTACTCAAAACAAGCAGTTGCCAATGAAATAACCCAAGCTCCCTTTTCCAGTAGTTTTCCAGACTACTGTATTGGGTTCCAGTCTACTGGATTCAGTATTAAGCTCTGGACTCTGCCCACTGTATTCGGATGCATTGTGAGGGTACAGACCATTTTGCCAAGTATATAACAGGGGCATACTGGTTTGGGGCTGACACTTCAGTTTCCCCTAGAGCTTAACACCCCTTCTCTCAGCACTGCCTTGGGCGATCTTGACTGCAGAGGCAAACCATGAAAGGAATAAGACGACAACCCTCCAAGATCAGCAGATTTTGGCATCCCAAAGGGAACTTAGGGAACTAGACAAATCCCTAATATTAATCAAGAAACTCTACCTTCATCCTGAGAAACCTTCGGGGGTAAGTTTTCACTAAACACAAACATCTTTCTATAATAGAAGATTTGGGTTTTTTTGTTTTTTTTTTTTCCTCCAGTGAATCGACATTTTTCTGAGTGGGTTTCATCCTAGAATCTTTAATCAACAACAATTAAAAAAAAGAAGTCATTCCACGTTTACTGTGCCTACTCATTTAACCTGCCTCAACAGCTTCATGACACATTGTAATTACATCACCCAACGTTTTGTACAGATAGGTGACATGAATAGACTCGTGGGCGGCACATATAGTTTTCTTAAGGCCATTTTTAAAGGCACAAACCAATCTAGCATACTGTCTTCTCCTGAGTGAAGGACCAGAATAATTTTCAAGCATAAATATAGAAAAAAGTAAGCAATATTTTTTGATTCATAAGCTAACGTTCTACACACACTAGCATGCAAGCAAACAAAAGAGAAAGCGCAACAGGCATCATTTCCATAACGGACGAAAATTCTGCCTCTCCCCCTCCACAACCTGACTTTTTTCTTCTAGGGCGAGGATGTACTGAGATCTGACCACCTTGTACATTTTAGAAAGAAATGCCATTATACCCCTTTTATATTGAGCAAAGAAGAACATATTAACAGAAAAACCAAAGTATTCTACTTCAGATCCATCCAACTGAACCCAGTTACATTTACCCTCACGTTAATGGTACCTTGAAGAATAGCCTAATTGGCTCACTGAAGTCAAAAAAGCGTCCATCAGTCGGGCTGGCTGCCTTTGTCCCAAGACTTAGGGGACATTAACATCTATTTCTAAAGAAGAGCTGCAGAAAAAAGACGCAAACTAAATCCATAGTCTATCTTGTTTTTACAGGCAGGTATTGATCTTCTCCAGTTTCTTAAACATGTATTAAAAATAAGCGGAAATAATGTTATTCACTGCCCTTAGAGAACATCCAGGAATACACTATTTCCGGTACCATAAGCAGTGGGTTATCAAACATCAAAAAATAGTGCTCAAATGTGTTAAACACACCAACTCTGCAGACATATCAGGAATTCAAACATACAGTTCCCAAAGCTGCAAAGGAAGTTGAAAATAAATACAGAAAAAGGAGATGACTGGGGTCTGTTCAGCACCTGAAGAAAAATTGTATTAAGATTTAGGTTGGAAAGGATCTCTGGAGGTCTCTAGTCCAACGCCCTGCTCAAAGCAAGGCCAATTTCAGAGTCAGATGATGTCAGATGAGCCTTGTCTGGTCAACTCGTATGTCCAAAGACGAAGGCGTCACAAACTCTCTAGGCAACCTGTTCCAAAAATATCAATGAAGAACACAGAAACACAGTAGGAGGCATCTGGCCGCCCTCTGGTCCCCAAAAGTACACCTTTATAAGCATACAACCATTCTGACAAATATCCTTATTAAATGCTCATTGTCATATATTTGACTTCATCACCTCTTCCCCTTCTCTTATTATTCACATGGGATACAAACTCACAGATACTCAGATCACGAACGAGATCTCCACACAGAAGAGGCAACACACTGGTATTTACATGGACTGTAAATATATTTGGGAGCAAGGTCTAGCTACTATATGGTAACATACAAGGGACACAAAAATGCAAACCATAAAATGATTCAGCAAGTCGATTCTGGGATGCCAAATTCATTTGCCTCTCTTTCCTTTCCACAGAAGCAAAAATTGAGGGGCAAAGAAGGTGTCCATGACATATGTAGGTCTTGCCTTAATACGGCCCTGCCTCTAGGGATGTGTTATTACATGCAATTTCAGACACAGTTTACACGTGACTAACTAGAAAAGGGCAGGCAGTAGGCAGAGATAGGCAAGCTGCTTTAGGAAGTGATAAGCTCAAAAACTGTCTTTCACAATCAGCTTCTCATCACCGCTGTCTGCCTGCGAGCAATCTCAACCCCCAGGGAGGATCTTTACATTTCTGGTTGGTGAGACATAAGCTTGAAAGGAGAAGTGAGTTCAAACTCTCTTAGAGGAGAGCCCCTGACAGCCTGCATGCTGTGCAAACGCTCCCAGACTTGCAGATAAAAAGGTGAGGCAAGGCATGGCCTGCACATACTTATCGGCCAGACAGAAGCAGAAAAAGGCTGATTTCGTGACTCTCAGGGCACTCTGGTATTAATCAAGTGTGGAGCTGATCTGGACTTCTGCACTGACAGGAACTTCTCAGCAGAAACTGAGACAATCGGGGACTAGGGAAACCGCAGGGTTAAGAGATGACTTTCTAAATGTTATTGATACCTGTATTTTAGACTTGAACACATAAATTCGCAAAAAACTGCCAAACCCCTCAAGACCGCAACTTCCTTATAAATAAAATTCAATGTAGAAATTAACTTTGTCAACATCCACGTTTCTCTCTTCTGTTCCATCAAAAGCTGAGCCCGCAATGACCCATTCATTTGGGAAAACAGCAGTCTAAAGCCACCTGTGTTTGGTGATCTACCTACCAACTTCCTCTAGCATGAAAGCATATACATGCTGGCTAGCCCTTTCTCCTTCTGCAAGCCTGCTGACAATTTGCTGAATGGGGAGCACATTAATATACACTTGACAAAATTGCTCTCCTAGAAATGCTTGGAACAAAGATTATTTGAAATAAAGATACACAGCACCACCCCCACCCTTCACAAGAACAGAGTAGAACAAGGTAGCATTGAGCCGGTGCAGTGTCAGCACTGTCATTGTTTGTTTGGGGACTGCAGAACACCACACACTCCACTTCGCAAGCTGGATTTGCTACGGCATGGTTTTCAGACTCACTCTTGATGTGGTGCTCCTGTCTTTGTCAGCAGGGTCAGGACGAAAAACATGAAGATGACAAAAACTGCAAGACCAACCCAAAATCCAATCACAATGGAATCTGGTGAAAAAGAGGAAACAAGCCAATCAGCATTTCACATGCACCTGCAGGAAGTCTCCTTCCACATGCAGCATGACTACAAATTCCTACTTTGCTTCTTATTCATCGCAAAAATACAGATGGCAAAGAGAAAGGATGATCAGATTTATCCTCATCTGTTTTTAAACAGAAAGCTGCCATTAAAGGAGTTCTTAGTTTGAATCCCAGTCTTACTGATGCATGGACAAACCAGAAACCAGCTGAAGGAGGGAAGGGACTAAATTCTCTTGATCAGTAAAATGAGAGCAGCTCCATTTGTGATGCCTGGCCTATGTCCAAGTATTGCTTTGGAAACAACTGTAGCGGTAGAACTCAGAGAGGGTTATTTGGTTTTAGAGAAAACCTCTGTCTCCATAGAACTGAACTACTATTGTGAATGATTTCTACCTGAGACCATTAGGTTTCTGTTTTTTTGATAGATTGCTTTGACACTGCAGGTTTGGAAATATTTAGCTTGTTTTCAATTTTAAGATAGAGGGTTCTGAAAAAACGGAGCCAGAGGGAAAAAAAAAAACATTTGCTACTTAACAAATATCTACAACCAATATCTGTAAGACGTTTTCGATTCGTTTTTGATTGAGGTTTACACCTTGCATACAGAAAACTGCAACAACTGTATTAAGAGTTAAATGGTTTCCGACCAAAACAAAACACTACACCAGCTTATTAAAACACGCACACACAAGTGCAGTCACATTGCTGTCCTAGAAAGGAAGGCATCTTAGGAAGTCACCTAGTCCATCCTTTTCCACCACAGAACAGGATAAAATACACTAAGCCATTCTTGAGAGATATATTTAACCTACTCTTAAAAGTCTCCTATCCCTCAATCCACAGTCCCTCAGTCTAACCCAGACACTGGCATTACTGTTCAAAAAGTTTTCCTTACATCAGATGAAATCTCTTCTGCTCTCACGTGAGCCCACTGCTTCTTATCCAATGCACAGGTTGGCTCACTAATTTTTTTTGCAATAGGTACTGCTTGTGCTTCCCAAGAGCATTTTTTGTCCGTATGCATAAAACGCACCTACTGGTCTCATCCATCGCAAACGGGCCTGTATATAATAAATGGCTGGTCCTACTTAAAATATAACAAATCTACATCCACTTAGGACTTCAAAGCTGACCCACAGTTGCTCCAGAACGAAGCTCAAAACTTCCAGGAACTTGCTTAAGAGGCGGTATAATACAAAAGCAGGACATGCAGAACACCACCCCAACACATGGCCTGGTCCAGGACTCAAGAGTTTACAGTTGCTTTTTCACTAGTCCTCTTAGTTAATTGTTTTTTGTTTACACAAATACTCAAAACTTGCACAGGTATCCAATCTACCCTCATGCTCTCAACCTCTTATTAGCCACCCCTGAACTTCAAAGACCCTCACTGCCTTTAAAGCTACTGGATGATCTGTCTGACCCTCTGTGGCAGGCAGAGAGCAGGTCTTTAGCCAGTATGTTAAACAGTCAATTTTGTACAGAACTGAAGACGCCAGAAAACAAGGAATCAACTATCCCACCTGGTACTTGGCGCCAATGGTTAATCACACTCCCACTGTGAAATATCTTCCACGTTAAAGGCAGATCTGGAAACTGGAAATCAATTCAAACCATTTGCTCTTTCTCTGTGAAGCCAAAGTGCCTGCTGCAACTTGACATTTTCTCCCTGTGAAAGTACTTTATCACAATCAAATCATTCCTTAATCTCCTTTTTCTGGTGAGCTAAGGAGGTTAAGTTTCAGATCTCTCACTGCAGGGTTTTTTCCTCTCTCTCCTCTGCCACATTTCCACCTCTCAACATCAGTTATAGGAAAAAAAAGGGAAGGGGTGTTCAAGTACAGGTCTCCATGATGAGTAGAAGGATGAGAAAAAAAATCACCCGAGACTGACAGTCATTACTCTTGTCTTATGGCCAAAGTTTATAACGCTCCTTCTTGCTGAAAACATAGCGGTAAGAGTATAGTATTATGCCTATAATTCTATGCCTTATGAGCCCTAAGTTCTTTTCAGAATCACTGTCTTCCAAAAACACAATTCTTCATTCTGTAAGCACAGCCTGTATTCAGCACTGAGATGCATCCTGCATTTAGCTTTATTAATAGACAACAGATCATCGTTTTTACCGTACCACCAGATTTTGCATTACCTGCAAATTTTATCTAGAAAGAAATATACTTACTGAACAATTTACCACTTTACCCCTTACAATTACTATTACCTCTCAACTAGCCTGACAGGCTTCAATGATATGCAACTGTGCCAATCAGAACATAAAGTCTGATCGAGTAAAATGTTTAAAAACATAAAATATGCACAGATTATATTGAACAGGTTACATCTTTCAATAAAACCTGTTAATTCGCCAGTTAACAAAAATCAAGATTGTCTGACAAACCACTGCTTCCCATAAAAATCACATCTGCTGGCATTAAATACACTTCCATAATTTATAAACAACAAGTCTGCCTCAGGCTTTGGGGTGTGAGTTTTTTTTCCCCCTTAGCTGAGAACTCTTACGTTCGTTCGCTTGGCCTAAACCTACGTCTTTGCCTATCGGTGGCTGCTGATACGCTTCCAACTGTCTGCCATATCAATGACATTCTTAGGATTTCTTTAAAATTAAAGCAGCAGGCCAGAGATCTCTTCAGCATCTCATTTAGGACTCATCCATTTAGATGCAAATTATCCAAACCTACCAATTCCTAAATATGCATTCAAAATAAGAGGTATAAAAGACTACATTTATTCAAAATAAACAATACATAAAACATTTACAATACCGCCTCAAGTTACAAATGGACTGGGGAAGTATTTCTTCACCTTCCCAAGCCGCAAGAACATCAGCCTCCCTGTCTTTCCTAAGACAGACCCATAACATCCTGTCAACACTTCCGATTCCTCTGATCATTCCTACCTATTTTACCTTTCTCTAACGTCACCAGGGTTTCTTCTGTTTCTAATCTACAAAAAGTTCATACATCTACCAGTCACAGATATTTCCCAAATGTCTTTGTCTATTTACTTTCTAAAGTTTTAACTTACAAAACAGCTGATATCTGCCTTTCTGATTTCTAGTTCCTGCCATCACTTCTCCACAGTCAGGATAGGATTTTTTTTTTTTTTCCCCCGCAGTCATATTGTGGCATGCAAAAATCTTGCCCTCCCTTCAGGTTAGAGATCTTTTGTCCAAACTTGACATCCATAAATCCATGGGCCCCGATGGGATGCACCCACGAGGGCTGAGGGAGCTGGCGGATGTTATCGCTAGGCCACTCTCCATCATCTTTGAAAGGTCATGGAGATCAGGAGAGGTGCCTGAGGACTGGAAGAAAGCCAATGTCACGCCAGTTTTCAAAAAGGGCAAGAAGGAGGAGCCAGGAAACTATAGGCCTGTCAGCCTCACCTCCATCCCTGGAAAGGTGATGGAACAGCTCCTCCTGGAGGTCATCACTAAGCATCTGGAGGACAAGAAGGTGATCAGGAGTAGTCAGCATGGATTCCCCAAAGGGAAATCATGCTTGACCAACCTGATAGCCTTCTATGACGGAATGACTGGCTGGGTAGATGAGGGCAGAGCAGTGGATGTTGTCTCCCTGGACTTCAGCAAGGCTTTGGACACTGTCTCCCATCACATCCTCCTAGGTAAGCTCAGGAAGTGTGGGCTAGACGAGTGGACGGTGAGGTG